TAACCCTGTATCTAGTGTACATCCTCCCTGCTGGCTCTTGGTACCATTAAGAAAGGACATTGGGTCCGGTCAGCATTTTTGTGACACCCGCATACTGCATATGTATCATTACCTTTACTAATGGTGTTTCCTAGTATTTTCTTTGACCTTTGTAAGGAATAGAGTCATTGTCACATAGCCTTAGCTTTACATGTAGCTTCCAAGTGCCGTGTTAATGGAGAGAAATGCTGGAAACATGGCATTTTTCCAGCCCACCAAGGAGAAATGGAAACTAAAGGGGAAAAATAAAATCCCAATACTTTATAAATACCTCTCATGCCCCAAATGGAGTTAAGGCAGTTTCCAAAGCAGATAAACACAGCAGAACTTGGCAGGAAGATGGGCGAGGAACACAGTTAACATTCAGAAAACTGTCCCTGGGATTCCTGAGTCCTGGCTAAGGGGGCTGGGAGTGGGGGTGGGGGGCAAAGCTCTAAGTTTGGGGAAGATCAGAAAGTTGAGAACAAACCAGGAGCCTAGGCTGACCATTCCAGACATTGATACCATAGAGAAGTACAACGGACAAAGGTAATAACCCTCTGTCGGGTAAGCACAGCAACAGAGAAACGTGTGAGGCCTCTTCTCTTGCCCTCCATTCCACCAGACCTGTTTGGTAAGAGGTCATTCCTGGAGCACAGGGAGATGAAGTCTATGGCCAGCCTCATGGAGATCTGGCTGAACCTAAGAATGTACTGTGGGGGAGTTCAAGCATCAGTAGTCCAAGAATATCTGGGAAGTATGTGCCGTAGGTGCAATCCACTTATCTGTCCTCTAAACATCCATCCATCCATCCATCCATCCATCCATCCATCTTTTAGTAGCAACATTATTAGTTACCATATCAGAGAGGATTGCAAGAATTACAAGGCTTGGGGCAAAGAGTAAATCCCAAGTACTGGAGTCCTTGCTTAGGGTCCACAGTGCCAAAGCTCAGTCCTCAGTATGTGGAGAGGCAGGGAGACAAACAGCACCTTACACGTTGTCCACTTTTGTTGGCCTCTGCAAAGATTTCTAGGCAACACTGATGAGTTCAGGGCTACACTTACAGATGGGAAAATAGAAGTCTAGGCAGGGAGCAGTGGCCTTAGTGGGCCATCTGGTATGAGCCACACTCCTCTTCTGAACATTATACTGTGGGATTACACTCACCTAACAGGTCTTAAGTTCCCCTCAGAGAGAAACTAGGGCCTTCATCATAACACTGATTCAACAGACAACAACACACAAGTTACGTACAGTTCTAAACTCAGAGAAAGCAGGGCATGAGGTATGTTATATTCATGCAAAATTTAAAGCAGTAACATTTTGTCAGTTAGCTCTTAATCCTAACTTGTTCCCGCTGTTTATCCTAAAGGTACCTCCTGCTGTTTTGTTTTGTTGGCTCATTTGCTGCTCAGACTGGTTCACAGCCTCTCCAGCGGGCCACCAGGCCTGGTGTATGTTAGTCACAGAGCCCTTGACTTGCTTGGGAGCCAGAGTCCTTGGCTTCTCTCTGCAGATGGGTCTCCCTTGGCTTCGCCCAGGGGAGTGTAATTTGCTGTCTGTCGGAATAATTAAAGGGCTCCCCATGTTTGCCCTACAGGGTTTCCTGTGGACTCTCCTCATTCCTCTGTGCTATGCTTCATTCACCAAGTAGAAGACAGCACCCACCCCTATTAATACGAGATTGGCATCACTCACTGGCTTTTCCTGTGAGAAGAATAACTTCCTCTTACACACACACACACACACACAAACACACACACACACACAAACACACACACACACACACACACACACACACACACACACACACACACGATTGAAAAAGAAAACCAAAAAAGACGTTCTCTCTGAAAATAATCTCCAGTGTCTGTGTTGAGCAGAGCTTTTGTTTGGAAGCAAAGGCATTTCCTTGGACTCTGAAATTGCCTTTGACTTCTATGAACTGCTTTGACAAAAAGGGATTTTTTGTTTTTTGTTTTTTGTTGTTGTTGTCGTCGTTTTTTGAAAAACTTCCTTTACAAATGTGCCTGTCAACTAGCTGAGGCATTTAAAAAGATATAATTCAAGCATAAAACTGCCCATTTTTAAAGGATACCTTGAAAGTACTTTTGCCACTCTGGAAGATGCTAGACTGTCCATCCCTGACTGCAAAATTTCACTGCTTTAAAAGGTTTCTCCACAGTCTACTGACATTTGTAATAATTCATAAGCAAGGAGGGATTTAGGTAAACAACATAGAAATGTGTTCAGGTTGTACTGAACAATAAGAATTAGTCTTTCTAGTGTTACATTTTTCATTCTGGGTTAAATTCAGCCACCAAACATGATTTTGAGACGTAATTTAAATTATTGATATATAGGGACCCTTCGTTTCTGTTTTTATTCTTTAAGTCATTTTAGAACTGTGTTCTTTTTTTTTATTCAAATGCACAATGTGGTGCTTCTCATAAATGGTGATAGTCTAGTAGTTAAAGAAATTGGAGTTAGAAACATAATCACCATAGGATTCCCCCCCCCCCCCCCCCCGCCTTGAACTGTGCACCATGCGATCCTTTGCCCCGTCCACTTCTGTTCGCTTTAAATAAAGTTTTATTACATTTGTCTATGTATTTACTTAGCATGTGGATGTGTGTTGGCACAGATGTCACGGAAGGAGTGTGAAGGCCAGAGGAAAACCTTTGGGTGTCCGTTCTCTCCCCTCCCACCACATAGATGCTGGGGATTGAACTAAGTGCCTTAATCCACCGAGCTGTCCAGTTCTCCTTCACTTCTAAAACATTGAGTAATGGTTGTGTGTTGGGCAGTATTTTAGTGACTAGACAAAAATCAAGAATAAAGACAGGAGCATGTTGCCCTTCCAGGAGCTTAACATGTGGTTAGGGAGGTTAAGACATTCAATCAGTTAACAGTAAAAGTAAATAAACAATAGGGTGGCAAGATGGCTTAGTGGGTGAAGGTGATTGCTGCCGAGGTTGACCTCCTGAATTTATCTCTATCCCACAAGATAGGAGAGACCTGGCTTGCACAGATTGACCTCTGACCTCCACATACATGGCATGGCCGGGACACACCCATACCCCCCCACACACACACATACCTACATGATAAATTAAAAGTGAATAGCTGTAAAAATTGCACCAAACTGAGTGAGCCTAATGTAGGATGTGGGCTTTAATGGAAGCCTTAGCACTGGCTCTTCAGACGTAAGAAATGTAGTGCATTTTATAAAATCTACAGCAGTAGCAGTAGGATGATGGGCAAGCTGAAGACCTGAAGATTTAACTCTCTACAAATGAGGTCTCAGTGACGAGGAATGGAGGAGGCCAACGGGGCGGGGTGCCGTTAGAATCCTGGGGGTATAGAATTTGAACTTGAGAGTGAGAAGAGACCTTTCAGTCACGATACTTAGGATAAGAGCCAGAGATGGGCGATGTGTTTTCAGTAGAGCAAGGCCATGGAATAGTAGTTTCCTTTGGAAAGGCCCTCATGGCACCTCTGTGGAAGGGATTGTGGATAAGGAACATGTTGGAAGGCCTGCAGACTGCAACTCAGCTTTGGAAGTTTGGCGGAGTCAAGAGCCCTGTGCTGGGCCTGAATGGGAAATACTGTATAGGTGGGGCCAGAGTTCCAGATCCCTGTTCCCAACATATTACCAGTGGTTCTGGGGGGTCATGGAATTGAGAGCAATCTCACATGTGTGTTTGAGATTACAATCAAATGAAAATTAGAAGGCAGGAAATAAAAACCTTTAAATACTATCCAGCCGTAACAGGTTCTGGTAGATGTCTGTGTAAATTTAGTTTGTAGTAGTTATCTTTCTTCCTATTAATAAACCCTTTGCATTGGGTTTTTCATGTTAGTGTTCCTGAGGGTGGTAAACACCCAAGGGGAATAACTGAATAAAGGCAGTATCTGCCAGGGTGAATACACATCGACTCTGGAATTATGAGTAGCATGAAGCTTGAGTAGTTCAAAGTTCTCTTTCTGTTTGAAATTAAGTAGAGCTGCATAACGCAATGATGTTGATAATTTATGTTTATGCGTATGCGTGCCTCCAGGCCTTCCACAGCATTAATCATTTCTATGCTTTCCTCTTAAAGCGGGATAAACTTGGAAGTGACAGATGGATATTTCTATACAGTCAGTTAATATGTTTAAGACACTTAACAAATAATATACATTTTTAGCACCTGGATAATGAGGTACAAAACTGGCTGTATCTACTTACATCCTAGAGTTAGGTTTTGGTTTAGTTTGCGTCTCTAGAAAGAAAAACACTGCTAAGAATCCCCCACTCGAGCAGGCCTGTTGTTTATTTTAGGACACAGGCATCTTTAGTGGCCACATGAGGGTCCGGCTGTGCTTGGGAATGGAGAGTACAATAAAGTTTTCCACTCTGATGTCTCATTAAGCAGCTCCTCTTTGTGTAAAGTACTCCGTGGCAAAGTTGCTTCTATTTAAAGGCCCGAGTTTGATCTTGGCTTTGATCTAAACCTTTTGATCTTGAAAGAAGGATGGAGTAGCAATAAAGAGGGCCCGACAGACTTTCTTTTAAAGAAACGCGATAAAGTTAAAGGGCGGTCAGAGTCAGCCAGCACCGGCAGCAGCCTTTCCCCGGGCCTGGCGGACGCGGACAGAGGAAAATGGGGCGAGTCCATCCTTGGCTGTGGAGCAGGGCCGCCCCCCACCCCCATCCTCGGCTGTGCAGGTCCATGGCGAGGCACGCACAGGGGACTCCCCAGGTCACCTGCCA